AGAGAGAGAGAGAGAGAGAGAGAGAGAGAGAGAGAGAGAGAGAGAGAGAGAGAGAGAGAGAGAGAGAGAGAGAGGGACTCGAAGAGGAGGTCCTTGTCGACTGGTAGCAGTGCAAGCTGGCTCACATTGGCTGGCCATTGGAGTAACGGGTCGATGGAGTACGAGACCAGCGCTGCATATGAGCTTCATTATTATTGTTATTGAATCACATTGATTGATTGGAGTGACGGGGGGTTGTTTCTTCATACCTCAGTTGGAACATAGGATAAGACCGAATTACACACGAATTCGACTAATGGTTAATAGCTGGTGTCATTTTCCACAAATTCTCCACCGAAACTGCCATATTTCCTTGATTAAAAAAAAAATAAAAATTGGTGTGTGTGTTATGTGATTTAGTGTACATCCGTATTCAGTTTCGATGTGTTTCGAGAGTAACAAAAAACTTGAAAAAAGTTGGCAAAAACACCGCACTTGGGGAAACAAAATGGCGAACTCCGAAAGCTACTCCGAATAGTTTTTTTTTTTTTTTTTTTTTTTTTCCCCGAATAGGGTTTTATGCTGCTTTTGAGTGTTTTTCTTTTCAATTTTTTTTCGCTTGTTTGGTTTTGGGATGTTTGTTGTATGAGCGTGAATTGTTCGTTTGCAAAATTTTCGATGACATTGCTTGTGGCGATGCAGCAAAAAACCCCAAATTTTGGGCCTTCCATTAACCCTCTCTCATGAACTCCCGCTGGATGGCGAGGAAAGATATGTCCAGCACAAAATATTATCCACAAAGTTATTGTCAAAATATAACCAGACCTCAGAACATTGTAGTGGTCCCGCATGAGGGCCGATGACAGCGAAGCAGCAGTAGAAGTGCGATCAACATGCATCGGGGGGAAAGTATAGGGACTGACCTCCACTGGACCAGCCGAGATCCCAGGTAACGGATTGAGCTTCAGAAGACGAAGCTCGCACATGATGCGGAGCATGCTTGTCGCAACCATTGTCATCTTGGGCTGAGCTATGGCATACTGAGCATAATCCTTGGGCAAAGGCTGAAGGAACCGTGGAGAGAAGGAAGAAACACCACCACCAACCACCATTCGAGAATCTTAGCATGGTGAACCTCGCTGGTGGGTGACTTTTGTTTCGTTTTTTTACTGACTGGTTCGTTCTTCAAACTGATAACCACCAGGCCGTCCCACGAAACAATGCTAGTGACCAATCCCCTTTCTTGGAACGAAAAAAAAAAAAAAAAAAAAAAAAGAATGGGGAAGTTACATATGATAGAGATCACGTGTTGAAAATTTAAATCCCAACACCACCAGCACCACTATTCAAGAAAAAGTTCACATGGAGTACCTGGCTGGTAGGTGACTTTAGTTTCGTTTTTGACCGACTGGTTCAATCTTCAAACTGATAATTATCAGGCTGTTTGACGAAACAATACAAGTGGGCGATCCCTTTTCTAAAATAAACAAGTTTCATACGGTAGACGTCACCAGTTCAAATCGACTTCACCTACAATCTTGGACACTTCTTGTCAGGCTGCATTTATGAACTTCATGTACACCGAGTGAAATACAGGTGCTCAACTTCTCACTCAACTTCTCATGGCATACAAAAATATAAAGCCACATCTTAGAGGTTCTGAATAGCTTTCGCATCAGTACAGAGCACAGACAATCAGACATACCCAACACTTTTCAATACCCAGACACACATTCACATCATTCTCTCTCTCTCTCTCTCTCTCTCTCTCTCTCTCTCTCTCTCTCTCTCTCTCTCTCTCTC